AGCCAATTGTTGGAAGCACACTTTCAGCCAGCCTTTGGTCATAGGTTCGAATCTCAACAGTTCTATTGATGCTTAGAGAGAGAAGTTCTGCTAATGTATTATTAAACATTGTATTTAATTCCTGATTATGAGTTCTCTCCAAAATTGTTTCTAATTATGGTTTCTCTCCCAAAATTTCTTTAAGATAGAATAAAAACCTCATTTGTCCATTGTATTTCTAAATTATAAACAAATTAGGGCTTGTTTGAGCCCCATTTTTTTAAATATATTTTTAAAAAGTATTTTTGGAAAATGTGTGGTTAAAAAATTAAAAAAAATTCGATTTACATGTAATATTATTTTATTGAAAAATGTGTCGTTGAAAATGAGTTTTGAGAAAATTGATTTTTGATAACATGGGAATCAAACAATATATAAATAATATCACAAAAATACAATTAAATATTTGACCCTCATTCTAAAGCACGTTAATAATATTTTTGGACGAAAATCATGATCAATGACCAAATTTCCAGATCAATGAAACGTTAAAAATAAGAACTTTATGAAGAAAAATGTTAACGATGTAAATGTGATAATGAATAAAGGTTAACGACCTTTAATGTAATTAAAATGTGGTGTATTTATAAAAAAAATATGATGTGAATATAATCACCCTTCTATGACCACTCCGAATTTTTTTGGTAATTATATTTACATCATAATTTTTATTGATTTTACTATTTTTTAATTGGACTTAAGGTCTTTATCATTTTCTCATTATAAAAATTATATCATTTTTAGCGACTTTTCCCAACCCTCCGATAATTGTTAGTAACAAAAATCACATGTAATGAGTCAAAACCCACAAGTAACTTTTTCTTTCCTCTAGACCCAAATATTCATAGAAAAATATATTTTTTATTTGACGAAAAAGAGATGAACGATTTTAGCCATTTAGGATACTTGCTTATGTGGATACTGGTTTACAATATATTTGGTGATATAGTCATGGTGTGTATTTTTAGAAAAAATGATTGAAGTATAGATTTTTTTTCCCAGAATTTTAATAGGAATTTGAATTCTCACTCACATAGAATTGACCCCCTGTATAAAATAATGAAAACAAAAAAGTTTCCCCCCAATTATTGTGTCTATTCTGTAAGTACAGGAATTTTGAATTCATGTACTTATATCAAA